GGCAATGATTGGCTGCAATGTCTGGTGCTGGCTGCAATGGCTGGCTGCAATGCCTAGTGCTGCCTGCAATGGCTGGCTGCAATGTCTGGTGCTGCCTGCAATGGCTGGCTGCAATGTCTGGTGCTGCCTGCAATGGCTGGCTGCAATGTCTGGGGCTGCCTGCAATGCTTAGTGCTGCATGCAATGGCTGGTTGTAATGTCTGGTGCTGCATGCAATGTCTAGTACTGCTTGCAATGGCTGGCAGCAATGTCTGGTGCTGCCTGCAATGGCTGGCTGCAATGTCTGGTGCTGCCTGCAATGGCTGGTTGCAATGTCTGGTGCTGCATGCAATGCCTAGTGCTGCATGTAATGGTCTGCCGCGTCTTGTCATGTATGTTTTAAATAATTCGGGAAATAATTTGGACATATGATGCTAAACTTTTATTTCTTTTTTAAAGAAAAAAAAAACATGAAGTTGTGGGATCAAGTCTTAGTGGGGTATGGTGTGTCAGCAGATGGGATTTATTTGTCATCGAGGGGTCACGACATATGATACAATATGATAATTATGGTAAAGTTAGTAGGTGTGGTTTCTCAGGATTAGGTGACGGTGGCTCAGGGTTTTAGCGGTAACTTGGTTGCACTATGTGGATGTTTTGATGGTGTCAATCATGTCCTAGGTTAATATTCTTGTTAGCCGCTGCTTTGTGATCAGGTGATGTGGGTGCTAAGTTGTGTTCTGAAATATGGATAACCAAGTATGCCTTATCTGTTTGCTAATAGTGTATTTTTGTCTGTAATGGTATTATTTGTAGCGGAAGTATCGGGTGTTATGAATGTCACGTGGTGTTGTGGTTGCTGCGGTTGGTGCGGGTGCCGCGTGGTAGTGTTAGTGTCACGGTTGGTGTGGAAACAGCGGGTAATATGGATGATGTCGGTGCCAAGGGGCGAATGCTGCGGTTGGTGCGTGGTGATGTGGGTGTCGCGGTTGGCGTGAAAGCAACGGGTAGTGTGGATGCAGGTGCTGTAGAAGCAGCAGGTAGTGTAGGTGATGTGGAAGCAGCTAGTAGCGTATGTGTTGCGGGGGTGTTGCTGGGTAGTTTACCAGGTAGCACCGTGTGGTGTTGGTATCGCAGGGTGGTTCAGCGGGCATCGCGTTGTGGTGTGGGTAGCGAGGCGTCGTGTGGGTGCCGGGTGGAGGTTCAGCGGGTAGCGAGGCGTCGTGTGGGTGCCCGGTGGTGGTTCAGCGGGTAGCGAGGCGTCGTGTGGGTGCCGGTGGTGCTTCAGCCGGTAGCGAGGCGTCGTGTGGGTCTTGGGTGGTGCTACAGCCGGTAACGAGGCGTCGTGTGGGTGCCGGTGGTACTTCAGCGGGTAGTGAGGCGTCGTGTGGGTCCTGGGTGGTGCTTCAGCCGGTAGTGAGGCGTCGTGTGGGTGCCGGGTGGTGCTTCAGCGGGTAGCGAGGCGTCGTTTGGGTGCCGGGTGGTGCTTCAGCCGGTAGCGAGGCGTCGTGTGGGTGCCAGGTGGTGCTTCAGTGGGTAGCGAGGCGTCGTGTGGGTGCCGGGTGGTGCTTCAGCGGGTAGCGAGGCGTCGTGTGGGTGCCGGGTGGTGCTTCAGCCGGTAGCGAGGCGTCGTGTGGGTGCCGGGTGGTGCTTCAGTGGGTAGCGAGGCGTCGTGTGGGTGCCGGGTGGTGCTTCAGTGGGTAGAGAGGCGTCGTGTGGGTGCCGGGTGGTGCTTCAGCCGGTAGCGAGGCGTCGTGTGGGTGCCGGGTGGTGCTTCAGCGGGTAGCGAGGCGTGATGTGGATAGCACTGGGTGGTTAAGCTGGTAGCGCGTGGTGGTGTGGGTGCCAAATGTGGAGTGATCTGGTTCTGTTTCTAATCAACGCCAGAATCTCAAAGGCCAACAGCACCTTCGGCCGATTCTATACCAATGTTTGCAATAGAAACGGCATCACCTTGCAGGTCGTGCTTAGGGTTTATTAAGGCTGCAATCTTACCAGTACAACTGTATGCATGTGCAGAGGGGACAGTATATCAGCATCATGGGGAAAAAACCCGAATCAGTTTCATATTATATGTCTCCGAAAATATTTAAAATCAAATGGCAGGACATGATTCGGAACACTGGTTCTCAGGAAGGCAAATCTGCCAAACATCCACACACTACTGAAGAAACACCAAATCAGCCAAACATCCACACACTACTGAAGAATCACCAAATCTGCCAAACATCCACACACTACTGAAGAAACACAAAATCTGCCAAACATCCACACACTACTGAAGAAACACCAAATCTGTCAAACATCCACACACTACTGAAGAAACACTAAATATACTAAACATTCACACACCCTATACAAAACAAATGCGCTGATATGGCCACTAAACCCGAATGCCAGACCATCTGTTTCCAAAGATAACATTTTATGTTGAACTCTGCCAGTTCTCAGATGGACAGAAAAAAGAAAGAAAGAAAAAAAAACGCTATAAAGGCACTATTTAAACGGCTCTCAAATCATTTGGTATCTAAGCTAAACAGAATCATCAGAAACTGCTGCACAAGACCAATCTGAATAGCGTACAGTTCTCAAACATAGGCCTGCCAAGGAGCGGAAGTTGCACTGAAGAAACACCGATGCCGACGAGACCCTGTGGCAAATCCCACCTTAACTGTAACTTTTATCTGTTGTCCACACTGCTCGAGAACTTTTTGCGTTCCAGTTCTTTAATTTTCGTACGTACAATCATGTTGTTGTTGTTGTTGTTGTTGTTGTTGTTATCGATCCAGCAGCGCTTGAGCTTTTTCCCTTTGGCCCAATGTCACGTAGTGGAATTTTCATGTTTTCACAAGCTGTTCTTTTCCTCCGTACAAGGTATTTAACTTGTCTGGTCTCGGAGGGAGTAGCAATCTTCTAGTCTCGCTGAATTTTGGGCACTCAAAGAGATGGTGTTCAACAGTTTCGTAGGGGTAGTTACATAGCTGGCACTCTGGAGAGTGTTGTGGCTGTATTCTGTTTAGATGTCCACTGAGTTGAGTATGTTGTGTTCTAAGTCTGAAGATGGTGGCCTGGTCCCTTCTTGTTAGATGGTTAATGCTGTCATTAGGATCAAGGCCAGTCATATGTCTATAAACCTCTCTTCTAGTGTCTCCCATGGCCCATCCATCCGTTCAACCAAGTCTCTTTGTAGCTCTTATAAGTGTTTTTGCTGTCTGTAGGGTTGTTGCTGTAGGTGGTTGTTCTTGTGTTGCTCCTTTCTTTGCCAGTCTGTCAGCGCTGTCATTACCTGGTGTACCAGTGGCCTAAAATCCACTTCATCACTATTTTGATGTTGTATGTGGTAATAAGCTGATCAGCATCACAATGTCATGAATACATACAATCATCGATCATTATTAAATTTGAATACAAAGTGGTCCTCATCGCTTGTGATGGACGAACATTTCAGACCTCATTGATTCTCATCCTAGAGATATTGATTCTTCCCACTGTAATTCTAGAAGGGGAAAACTCAAGCGATAACCAGCATCTGTTCTCAACAGTGAAGTTGGCAGGCTGGTGTTTATTGAATCGCCCTCGGCTCGCGAATTGGTTTGTAAAATTGTGCGAGCTGTCGTAGTGTAGCGTCTAGACGCTTGCCTGCGAATCCGCAGGTTGTATGGTAATGTCCTGACAGAGACTTAAATCATTTTTTTAACAATGACATTGGCTCCAGGTAACTAAGCTACAGCTTAGGGCCTCAAGTCTATTTGGGCCTCATAAATTCTTATTTTATTTTTCACTTAATGCATATTGAAATCTCCTGTTGATGTTTCAGCTCAAGGAACTGGTGCAGTGGCTAATGGAAGTCAACATGAACTGTTACAGAATTCTTGTAGGAGATCATGAAGGTTTGGGACGAGCAGGGTCTGTCATTGTGGCTTACATCTTCGCCAACAACCGAAATCTCACTTTCGATGAAGCCTACAATTACGTCAAGACTCGAACTTATGTCTTTTGCCACAAAGGGCTGAAGGAAACCCTCTATCAGCTTTATCCAAGAGACTGATATCAGAATGAAAACAAAAATTGTACTTTCCATTTTTACGTCTTCTTCCGGCCCATACGTATGGTGTTGTAGTCATGTCAATCCACAACCTTTTGTTACGGTTACTTTTAATCAGTTCTGACACAAACGATCTTCCATGATATGACATCAATCTGTCCAGCATCTACTCTTTCAGTATCCCTCTGTCTTTCTTCAGCTCTAACCCTTCCCGTCGTCACAATGTACTCCAGTTTTCACTTTCTCGTGGCAAAACCAAAGAATGTTGATTGTCTCCTTCTGATGTGGGCTTACCTTAATATTACCTTGATATTACCAGATATCACTTCATATTGAGTCTTAAGCATTTGTTCTTTGGGTGATTTTTTTTTTTTAAACAGATTATGTAATTTAATATTTTTATTTATTGCATTCATGATTAGGATACAACGAATATAAATCAATCCGCATCGTCATCTTTCGCTCTCGTTTAATAGTGAAAGTCCTATGTTGGTTAACAAGACTTCGTGTGCGTCCGGTGTGCTTCTCATGCTTGGCTGTGCTGATCTGTACTCCCAGTTCTCGTATTCTTAGCAGTGATGTGGACACGTTGCTTACAAAATCCTCAGAACGTCATATCTCTCTAAGGGCAATGACAATGCCTGCGTGATCCATTGGCCGGCCATCTTCAATTAATGCAGTACCTATCAGTCTATCAGCTCTTTCATTACCAACAACACCTGCATACACTTGGACGAATATGAAGCTAACTGCACACACAGGAGAGTTTTGCAATGATTAAAACCAATGTCTGCGTAACCAGCCTGTCTCGACCCACAGAATCATGCTCAAAGAATCACTCAGCACACACGCAGGAATAGTCCTGTGATTCTAGGGACATGAAAGCTTGTTTCACCACCATCACCTTCATCGTCATGCTGCTGATAGTCAAAGAGAAGGCACTGCTGCTTTCTTAAACTGTTCTGCCTGAAGAGCGAGCTGTAAATGCCCATGCCCTTTTATGTTTTTGTATAACAGACCAGTCTGTTAAGATCACCACATCTGTCTCATCTGACTTGTCACTAATAAAAGCGCATACCTCGGCATTGACAGCAGCTGGATTCTTTTCTCGACAAGTCCTATCGAGCGTCACGACACAGGAGAATGTGAGATTGGGCGCTTTTGACGCTGGTATCCATTCCTCACCTGGATGGATGTATGTAAGGCTGCAAGCCTGCATGATGTCATCCTCTACCCTACCCAGCCAATATTTACCCCTTTTGAGCCTAATGCCCTTTTTTTCTTCTGGTGCAAAGTGTGCTTCAGATCTGAGTATGCAGGATCCCTCCGGATCTTTTTCCTGTAGTTCATGGTAGGGAAGTCAAGAATTTACCTCATTGCCACATAAGAGGTATTTTCATTGCACTCCATAATAATGCGCATTGCTTCGTTTTGCACTTTCTCAAGTCTTTCAATCTGAGTATGGCCGACAGTGAGGATGGCAACGCTCTCAGCAGGTGGCTAGCCGTTCTGCGGAAAGAGAATGAGTCACATGGGATAAAATCAAGAGTAATGAGGTAAATCCTCTCGACTTTAATTGCAATCTGTTTGCTGGACGTCTACCTGACTCTTTTTTTTTTCTAGAAAGTCTCATTTACGATTTGGTTAGGTTGCATTTTTACTAGATGACCAAACCACTCAATTTTTCCCTTTGTGTTTTAATTTGGGCACGGCCTTGTTCGAATCTTCTTTATAATGCCGTTATTCGTAACCCTGTTCTTTATTGCGCACTTCATGAGTAGTTACTTTCTGTTCCTGTGCCCTGCTTATTTGAAGATGCAAACCTAATAGTGATAATAGCGCAAGTGCAATATTTTTATAAAAACTCCATCGTCAATCCCTTGATTGTTAGGATGTCGATTGTTAGGTTGTTTAAGGTGTTGTAGGACTGCTTAGGGTGTAATTTAGTTTTTTAGTGTCTTGGTTAGTTTTTAGGGAGTTGGCGTGTTGATAGGTTGGTTTGTTTGTTTTTGTGTTTTTTTCCCCCCTCTCGTCTCGGTAATTCTTTTTTTCCCAGTGCTATGTGTATTTATAGCTAATGCATCTTCAGCGCACTGTATCCACATTCGCAGTGGTCGGCCTCTGATCGTCTTCTGGGAATTGTACTCCACATCACCATTCAGTACAAATAGCAGTACTATTTAATGCAGAAAGCAGGGCAACGAGCAGGCAGCTAGTAAGTCCAGTAAGAGCCATGAAATTAGTGCAGTTTTGAAGGAGATCACTAAAGATAGTCATAGTAGCTGCGGAGTTCGTGATTTGTGCAACGCTCTCAGCGGGTGGCTAGCCGTTCTGCTGAAAGAGATCATATGGGATAAAACCAAACGAAATGAAGTCGATCTTACTGACAGACTTTTTAACGATATTCCTAACAGGTTCTTACAGTCTATATCCTATTCAAAGCCAGTGTCATTTTTATCACCTCTTAATTAACTGAAATTAGCTCTCTCCAAACGCCGAGCATTTTAGTAATTCTGTAAAAATGTAATATATGTGGATATAACTCACACACTTCAGTTATAAAGTTTTAAGCGTAAATAGGTAATTAATACACCCCAGTTGTCTTTAGCTAAGCCTTTCTTTCGACAAATCTGATCTGAAATGGCAGAGGTGCGCTGGTGACTCCGAAGACACTTTTGCAGGTCGGCAAGTTGTTGGGATCAGCTGGCAGAAATTCGAACTTTTGGATCAGCGCCGACAGAAACAAGAACAGCTCCATTTTTGCTAGGGATTCCCCAAGACAGACTCGTCGCCCTGAACATATGGAGGGGTAAAAAAAAACATGTTAGGGTATGGAAATATGAAAGAATTCGTTAACGTACAGACATATAAACTGATAGACAGAATGAATAAGCCAGGTAAAAACTTTTTTTTTTAAACTGGGTCGATGTCGACGCAGTCTGTGAAATGAGGTATCAATTTTCAAAATTTTCTGGGAATTCAAACAAGTAATCAGTGTGTCCTTTACAGAAAGTCTCTCTCTTCATGTCACATATGCGAGTCTCTCTCTCTCTCTGTCTCTCTCTCTCTCTCTATCTATCTATCTATCTCTCTCTCTTTATCACTCTCTGTTATCTCTCTCTGTCTATCTGTAGGTCTGTCTGTCTGCCTGTAGACAGACAGACAGACAGACAGACAGACATACAGACAGGCAGGCAGGCAGGCAGGCAGGCAGGCAGGCAGACAGACAGACAGACAGACAGACAGATAGATAGACAGATAGATAGAGAGATAGATAGAGAGATAGATAGATAGATAGATAGATAGATAGATAGATATATAGATAGATAGATAGATAGATAGATAGATAGATAGATAGATAGATAGATAGATAGATAGATAGATAGATAGATAGATAGATAGATAGATAGATAGATAGATAGATAGATAGATAGATAGATAGATAGATAGATAGATAGATAGATAGATAGATAGATAGATAGATAGATAGATAGATAGATAGATAGATAGATAGATAGATAGATAGATAGATAGATAGATAGATAGATAGATAGATAGATAGATAGATAGATAGATAGATAGATAGATAGATAGATAGATAGATAGATAGATAGATAGATAGATAGATAGATAGATAGATAGATAGATAGATAGATAGATAGATAGATAGATAGATAGATAGATAGATAGATAGATAGATAGATAGATAGATAGATAGATAGATAGATAGATAGATAGATAGATAGATAGATAGATAGATAGATAGATAGATAGATAGATAGATAGATAGATAGATAGATAGATAGATAGATAGATAGATAGATAGATAGATAGATAGATAGATAGATAGATAGATAGATAGATAGATAGATAGATAGATAGATAGATAGATAGATAGATAGATAGATAGATAGATAGATAGATAGATAGATAGATAGATAGTCAATTGGGAATGTTGAATTACCCAGAGAAAAGGGAACGAACTGCTCCGGAATCACCAAGTTGCCCTCCGCGTCAAGAAAGCGCTCAGGTCTAAAGTTCAAGGGGTCACCCCATGTCTTCTTGTCCAAGAGGACGGCATCCAAATTCGGGAATATGACAGTGCCCTTGGGTATGAAGTAGCCGAGTACTGTGGTATCCGCGGTACACATGTGGACAAGGCTGGGGATGAAATCACAGTAATGGAGGGTGAAATCACAGTAATGGGGGAATGAAATGACGGTAGGGGGAGAGGTCTAGCAATAGGTGTTTCGTCCTTTTTAGGACGAAATTTGTTGTTATTTGAAGCCCCACCCTGGTTTTTTGCCAGGGGCCGCAATATAGGCAGGCCATAAATGTGGCCAATAGTCTGAACGCGGTTTATGGGACCTCTCCACGGCGATCCTCGTCCACATGCTGGCACTTTGTGTCATCGGGTGTTTATCGCTTGTGTGATGTCCTGGTGGGGTAGAAAGTCAGTCAGTCAGTCGACGGTAGTGGGAGATGAAACCACGGCAGTGAGTGAAGGAAATCACAGTAATGGGGGATTAAATCAGGGAAGGGGGGAATAAAAGCATGGTAATGTGTGTGTGTGTGTGTGTGTGTGTGTGAGGGGGGGGGAGCAATCAGGGTTTGGTTCACGTTAATCTCCCCAAATAGAGTAGGTCACTTTTCATTCACAAGTTTGTTGGGCTGGCCGACTTTCATGTTTGCTTTCTATGATGTCTTGCATTTACGTCTTCATTCCGAGAAAGAAAATGCCTGTGGCATAGGTTGCAGCACTCTCTAGGCGAGTTGTATAAGGACCAGTTTGTCTGTTTTTGGAGTTAAAAGCGCTGGCGTGCTGAAATATACAATACGCGATTTCAACGGCATTTCGGAATACTCCCGAAACCTTGTTTGAAGGTGACAGGTTTAGGAACTACTAATCAGAAGTGAGCTAGTGTGTATATGGGCGGGGCGTTGGGAGACCAACATTACTTTCACCGAAATCAGGAAATTGGGAATGAAAGATAGATAGATAGTAATGGGAAATGTTGCAGAGAAAATGAAACAACTGGGGTAAGTAAAGTAAGTAAAGTAAAGATCCCTTTCCACGCCTTTAGGCGTATCCAGCAAATGGAAAGAGCGCCAATATTTTTACAGACCATCAGCACTCGGTGGGTAATGTGGTCAGCATTACGCCGGCTGTCTTTACTTTCCCAGGATAGCCCATCCTGGTACTCATTTTAGGCTGGGTTGACCTGCGACGCCCCATACCATGATAAAAATCCACGCAGCTAGCAGTGGGTTTCGATCGTACACTGGATTACAAGACGGACTCGCCACGCCTAAGCCATGGACAACGCTAACAGCTGGGGTAAATAGAATACCGGAGATAAAATAACAACCTATTGCAGAAATAACGAGTACAGTTTGTTCAGATAGAACAGCGGTTTTCAACCTAGGGGCGCACCTGCTCCCCTTTCCGGTAGGGAGAACAGAGAAAGATTTACAAAATCAAAGGGGGTGGCAAGTAATTTTGAAAAACAATTTTTTCTAAATGAGGTTTGAGGTTTGAACAACGGATCAACATATAGGCACACTGGTGTAACCCGTAAGTGCACCGTTCTTCTTCTAACTCAAGTCTGAGTCCGAAGAAGCTCAGCACAGTGCACAGGCTCTGTAGCACCGGCAAGGGTTCTGTAATTCTTTGGGTAAATTTTAAACTCTAAATTTTGCCCGGGCAGCGCCGTTAGGCTACTTTTTCGGTTTCCAACCGCCAAAGGATTTTTCTACGTGAATAACAATGCACACGGGCGTCTGATCTCACTACCCAGAGACCAGAGGAATTATTAGAAGTCAAAGTCCTTGTGGAAACATCTTCTAGCTCTGATAACCTATTATAGAAAAACTTTTATTTTTCAGTTCTCGTTATAAATAAAATATTTTTCATTTATAAAACAAAGACAAAACAAGCCAAGGATATTTTTTGTCAACACGAGTTTTCACGTCTACTGTTACAAATCTAAATAAAACAGGATAACATATCTCTTGTTGGGAATCGCCTTGGCGGATCGGCTAGACGCTCGCCTACGGATCGGAAGGTCGTGGGTTCGTCCCTGGCGGCCTTTTTTTTTTAAATGACTTTGGCTCCTAGGGCGACCCAGCCTTGAGTGGGTACCGGGTGTAGCCGCAGAAAGTAAAGGCGGCTGACGTGATGCTGACCACATCATCCATCTTGTGCGGATTGGTATAAAAAATATAGGTCTAGCCCTATATGCCCTATACGCATAAAGGCGTATAAAAGGGTCCTTTGCCTTACTTACATCTCTTGATAACAGTACTTAGGGGTTTTTTTTTCTTCTTTTCAAAAACATTTTGTGTTTATCTGGAAAAAAAAGTCGGGGGGGGGGGCGGTAATGGTTCTTGCCATATATTTAAAGGGACGTGACCAGGAAAGATTGAACAGACATATGCGACCGGGTGACCCACTGGCACATTGGTAGATCACTTCGTCGCCGGTCTGGGCAATATTTGTTTAAAGTAAAAAAACTAGACCTGTACCTCTAAATGGGATAAAAGGTCATGGATCTATTATCTATTGTTGAATACCTATGTTTGCTTTTAAAATTTAAGGATTCTAAGTACATATTGTTTTTTTCACAAGATGGCGGCTATTGCCATGACAACTATGATTTTTTAACACTTAAAGTATACAAATGTAATTACATGTATCCCTACAAATGACCATTGTAAAATAACTGCTCTAAGTCTGTAAATAAAAAAATAAAATTTTTTGGTGCAGTGACACCTTAATAACGGCATTTTTCCCAATTTATGACAAAAATATCACTTTTTCAATGTGTTCGTTTTTGTAAAGTTCGGCATTCGTACAATAGATGACATAAACAATTTATGTCATTTGTAAACAATTTAGCATTGAAAAGTTAATACTAATGACACCACCTCGTGCACTTTTTTAAGATAAAAAAAAAGTTTTAAAGTCAGTTTTCTCAAATCCTTATATTTCAGTTTGCTGTGTGTGTGAAATCCTAAAATCTAAGCTAATATGAAGAGTAGAATCATCAAATTTTGTATGCATACTCCATAAACAATATTATAGGGACTGGTCTATCTAAAAGTAGATTTTAGAAAGTTTTTATTTCTCAAATTTGATTATTGTCTTATGATGCTAGATTTTTTTGACTTTTTCAATAAACCTACATTTTAAAATTCTACGAAAAATATTTAAAAACATGTTTAAAGTAAATAAACTAGACCTGTACCTCTAAATAGGATAAAAGGTCATGGATCTATCATCTATTGTTGAATACCTATGTTTGCTTTTAAAATTTAAGGATTCTAAGTACAAATTGTTTTTTTCACAAGATGGCGGCTATTGCCATGACAACTATGATTTTTTTAACACTTAAAGTATACAAATGTAATAAAATGTATCCCTACAAATGGCCATTATAAAATAACTGCTCTAAGTCTGTAAATAAAAAAAATAAAAATTTTTGGTGTAGTGACACATTGACACTACCTCTAGAGTCCTTTTCAGGGCTACCTGGTAGCGTGCAATGCTAACCCACTTTAAATGGCGCACATAACCTAGATACAATTAAAGGTTCAAATTTCCCTTCTGGAATGGTAGTTGAATGTGACGATTTTCGCAAATCAAGCCAAGCAACAACAAAAAAAAAAAAAACACTGAAAAGTACAAAGGCATAACAAGACACGTCACATTATAATAGAATTGACCCACAAAAAAACTGTCTGGTATGACATATTATGAGACTAAATAAATAAACCCTTTCCACGTTAATGCGTTAATGGACATATCGTGCTCGACATCCAATTTAAACTGATAAAATGATGTGCGCTTTGCTCAATATCTGTGGATATATCCGGTATGCAATGATGACGATTCTTATATCAGTATTTTGTAGTCAGTGATCATGAAAGAGTATATCGAAACAAATCATAGTCTTGTACTTATAATATGTTGGCTGATTAAAAAACCCAATCCCTCCACACACACACAAAACATGCACGCAAAACAATTCAATTCACGAAAGGTGAGGAAACTGAAAATAAATGACGAGACAAACGCTGTCATCAACAGTTAAGAAAAAACAGAATTTGATGATACACTGAGTGCATTCAGAGGCGGAGTTGACAAAGAATCAAAAGCAGCGTTAGTGAAGAAGGAAATTAGTGTCCACAGCAAATCATCCTAGACAAATTGATGAGAGTGACTAAGTGGTGCCAGTTTGTATTCCATGAGAGTGACTAAGTGGTGCCAGTTTGGATTCCATGAGAGTGACTAAGTGGTACCAGTTTGGATTCCATGAGAGTGACTAAGTGGTGCCAGTTTGGATTCCATGAGAGTGACTAAGTGGTGCCAGTTTGGATTCCATGCATGATAAAGAAAGAGACTGCACAGAATAGAGCAGAATGGAGGATTTGACTGTGAGTCCAATGTAGCAAGATCACGTCAGGGCGAAGATGATAACTTATTCACATAAGCACTTGGATTCTGCGGCCCATTGGTGCGAGAAAACAAGATTGGACTCAAAAGTATGTCGTAAAAAGCGACACATTAGGTGAGTTTCCTGCAAAGTCAGAGTGCCTCTACCTGAGACGCGAGAAACCAACAGTATGTATGTCTGCCTGCCTGCCTGCCTGCCTGCCTGCCTGCCTGCCTGCCTGCCTGCCTGCCTGCCTGCCTGCCTGCCTGCCTGCCTGCCTGCCTGCCTGCCTGCGTGCGTGCGTGCGTGCGTGCGTGCGTGCGTGCGTGCGTGCGTGCGTGCGTGCGTGGTGTGTGGGTGGGTGGGTGGGTGGGTGGGTGGGTGGGTGGGTGGGTGGGTGGGTGGGTGGGTGGGTGGGTGGGTGGGTGGGTGGGTGGGTGGGTGGGTGGGTGGGTGGGTGGGTGGGTGGGTGGGTGGGTGGGTGGGTGGGTGGTGGTGGGTGGGTGGGTGGGGTGGGTGGGTGGGTGGGTGGGTGGGTGGGTGGGTGGGTGGGTGGGTGGGTGGGTGGGTGGGTGGGTGGGGGGGGGGGGGGGGTGGGTGGGTGGGTGGGTGGGTGGGTGGGTGGGTGGGTGGGTGGGTGGGTGGGTGGGTGGGTGTGTGTGTGTGTGTGTGTGTGTGTGTGTGTGTGTGTGTGTGTGTGTGTGTGTGTGTGTGTGTGTGTGTGTGTGTGTGTGTGTGTGTGTGTGTGTGTGTGTGTGTGTGTGTGTGTGTGGTGTGTGTGTGTGTGTGTGTGTGTGTGTGTGTGTGTGTGTGTGTGTGTGTGTGTGTGTGTGTGTGGTGTGTGTGTGTGTGTGTGTGTGTGTGGTGTGTGTGTGTGTGTGTGTGTGTGTGTGTGTGTGTGTGTGTGTGTGTGTGTGTGTGTGTGTGTGTGTGTGTGTGTGTGTGTGTGTGTGTGTGTGTGTGTGTGTGTGTGTGTGTGTGTGTGTGTGTGTGTGTGTGGTGTGTGTGTGTGTGTGTGTGTGTGTGTGTGTGTGTGTGTGTGTGTGTGTGTGTGTGTGTGTGTGTGTGTGTGTGTGTGTGTGTGTGTGTGTGTGGTGTGTGTGTGTGTGTGTGTGTGTGTGTGTGTGTAAGTTGTACCCCACCAGGACATCACACAAAACGATAAACACAAAGTGACACAAAGTGCCACAATGTGGATGAGGATCACCAGCGGAGAGGTTCCAGAAACCCCCTTCAGCCGTTAGGCCATATTTATTGTCCGGCTATATTTAAGAACCCGACAAAAGCCAGGGTGGGGTTTCAAATAACGAAAAATTACATCCCAGTGCATAGAATGAAGTCAGATCTGTAATAAGGATGTGCACGTAAACGGCAAGTTAATGGACAAGACTTAAGTCTAGAAGTGGATGAACAATTAGAACTTTTCAAGAAGTTTACCGCCGGTGAACGTAAGGAGGAAGAGAGGATTCAATCACAGCGGAACTAAAGGTTTACCTAAAAGGGACTATACTTGCACTCCTCTGGGTCTCCATGATGGCAGCGTTCAGGTAGTTTAATTTCGATTTATCATTCATTGTTGGTGGTTTTTCTGTACCCACAACTTCCTCAATTTCCTTGTATATCTGCAATAATTTAGCAAATGAAAAATACACTGTTAGTAAGTTAGTTAGTGATTAGTCAGTCAATCAGTCAATCAATCAGACAGTTAGTTAGTTATGTAGTTTATTTAGTTACTTGGTTAGTTAGTTAGTTATTTAGTTAGTTAGTTAGTTAGTTAGTTAGTTAGTTAGTTAGTTAGTTAGTTAGTTAGTTAGTTAGTTAGTTAGTTAGTTAGTTAGTTAGTTAGTTAGTTAGTTAGTTAGCTAAGAGTCGCCGTAGCAGAGCGGCTAAACGCTCGCCGTGGATCAGAAGATCGTGGGTTTGATCCCTGGCGGAGCCAGACTTTTTTCAAAAAAAAAAATCCCTTGGCTCCCAGGTCGACCCAGCCTTGAGTGGGTACTAGGTGCAGTCTCGGAAATAAAGGCGGCTGGGGGTCATGCTGACCACATCACCCATCTTGTGCCGATTGGTCTATAAAATATAGGTCTAGCCCTATATGCCCTGTACACTTTTTTGTTACTAGTTTATTAGTTTGATTGTTTGTTATTCAATCGACCAATCATTCCCATCGCACATCGGAGAAGTCCATAAGCGCTCGGATTCCATCTTCCAAACCACTCGAAAAAGGAGAGGAGTGTTATATTTCACGAAGCACAACATCAATTATGACTATATAAGATGTATGCACAGTGTACATGCACGGGCCGAAACATCCGTTAAAAGGAAACCTCTACTGATATCGGTAGACTCCTGCTTTGTTTGCTCCACCGTCAAGTCATCATCATCATCAATTTCTTTTTTGCCGTTACACATAGTGGGAAGGAACAATTTGCTATCCACTGCTTGAGGGCAGCAATATCTACTGTTATTCCTTGTCTGTGTAGAACAGAGGTTCTCAACTTGCCAGTCGCGACCCTTTGTTGGAGTCGAACGACCCTTTCTCATGGTCACTTAAAACCTTCCGAAAACACATTCACTGAAGTTATGACGTAAGTAAAGTTAGGATCGTTTTTCACGCCTTTAGGCGAATCGGGCATATGTGAAGAGTACCCATATTTTTACAGACCATTCGGCACTAGGTGGGTAATGTAGTCAGCATGACGTCGACCGTCTTTACTTCCCCAGGTCAGCCATCCTGGTACCCATTTTAGGCTGTGTCGACCTGCCACGCCGCATACCACGATAAAATATCCACGCAGCCAGCAGTGGGTTTTCGATCGCGGTATGTTAGAATTACGGGTCAGACTGCTGAAGTCATGAAGTGGCAACGCAAATAATTGTATGGTTGGAGGCCGTCACAACATAAGGAACTGTATTAAAGGGTTAACATTGAAAAAGTAGGGATGGGAGAAGGGCGCTTCTGGTATTGGGGAGGCACTCAGGCGCATTAGAAAGTTTCTAGGAAAGAAAGACCTCAAGAGGTTCAAGTCTTTTTTGTATTCATAATCGTGATGACGATGATGATCTTCTTCTTCTTCTTCTTCTTCTTCTTCTTCTTCTTCTTCTTCTTCTTCTTCTTCTTCTTCTTCTTCTTCTTCTTCTTCTTCTTCTTCTTCTTCTTCTTCTTCTTCTTCTTCTTCGTGTTCACCAGCTATAAGCTCTGGAAGTGATGATGATGACGTCGACGATGATGATGATGATGTGTTGCCTGTCAAAAAATATATTAACACATATTTTTATTTAACTAAATGTATACACAAAAAATTAATAATAGTTTAACAGTAACAAAAATGTATACATCGTTGGGAGGTCTGCCTAGCCCTTCACTACTTTTCAGAGGGTTGGGCGCTCGAGGACCCGAATAACCCGAATTCCAACACCCCTAGCCTTTATATAATTACACAATTCCCACCTTCTGTTGAACGTCCGGATGACGGAGCATGTAGACCATAAACCAGAGCATGGTTGTGCTTGTTGTCTCGCTGCCAGCAATGAACAAGTTAGCGATGACACGTCGTAGGTTAATTCCTAAGGTACAAGACATAGGAATATATTAGTTGATTATATACCACTGTTCTTTGAGAGTAGTTACTAGCTAGACGCTTCTTCGTGTTAGTTCCGGGACCCCATTGTGGGGACAACAAGAATAGACCCATTGCTTCCACAACAAGCATGCTGTAGAAGTCGACTAATCGGGGACTTTCTTCAAAGTCGGAGTGCATCTGCCTGAGTGGCAAGGAAAAACCAACTGCACAAAAATAAGTCAGTAAAACGCATGTACACGCATAATTCAGGCCCTGGCACAAAGCCAAAGTCCAAAAGGACGCACAACCATGACCTTTCGCCGTAGCTTACAGTTGGTAAACAAAGAAGAAGATAGACGCTCGACTCCCATTCCGACGATCTTCAGTTCGAATCCGCATTGTTCATGTGTGGACTCTTGGACCCCATAAGGTGGCTAATTGGGAGTGTTTTCCTCAAAGTCGTAGTGAATCTGCCTAAGAGACAATGAACCAACAGTCCGCACACAAATAGGTCAGATCTGTAAAGAAGATGTGCACGCGAAGCTCAAGATCTGGCCCAAGACTAAATTCCATGGTATGCAGTTGGTGACAGTTGTTTTTTTTTAAAGAAGAAAAAACACTAGCAAGGCAGATTTTTTTCGGGGTGGGGGCGGGGTGGAGAAGGGGTGGGGAGTGGAGAAGGGGTGGGGCGGGTGGAGAAGGGGTGGGGCGGGGTGGAGAAGGGGTGGGGGCAGGGTGGAGAAGGGGCAGAGGGTGGAGAATGAGTGGGGGCAGGGTGGAGAAGGGGGCAGGGTGAAGAAGGGGTGGGGGCAGGGTGGAGAAGGGGTGGGGGCAGGGTGGAGAAGGGGTGGGGGGCAGGGTGAAGAAGGGGTGGGGGGCAGGGTGAAGAAGGGGTGGGGGGCAGGGTGGAGAAGGTGTGGGGGGTCTCTAAAAATAGCATTGGCCTTTAATTTCCAGGTCTACTCAGGGTAAACTTAGTACTAAGTAACGTCATGTGAGAGGAGTCGCCGCAGCTTTGAAGGTCGCGTTTTGAAAAGTCGGACTTTTTTCAAAAATGACTGACTCCCAGGTCGACCCAGCCTTGAGTGAGTACCAGGTGCAGTCCTGGGAAGTAAAGATGGCCGGCGTGATGTTGACCATATCATCTATCAAGTGTCTGTAAAAATATGAATCTAGCATCATATGCTCGATGTCCAGAAGAGTCCCTTGCTTTGCTTTAGAGATCAGGTCGTGGGTTCGCATCCGGATGGAGCCGGACTTTTCTTTAAAAAATGACTTTGGCCTATACAATATAGGTCTAACACTACATGACCAATACACCTAAAAGTGTGGGAAAGGGTCCTTTACTCTAATATTGACGTAGGCTGGAATACTGAACTTTCAGGCAAGAGACCCTGGTTCGATTCTTCGGTAAAATGGTGGAAGTTTGTTTTAGTCTGGGAAAAAGTAAACACCCTGCCCTGCAGAGTTTGTGGCGACTGCACTATCTATGCAACCCCCAATCCCCAGGCTAAAAAAAAGGCTTGCTAGGAACAGGTCTGGCAGCTGGTCTAGAACATCCGACAGGCGGACAAACGGCAGCTTCTAAACGTAGTGATGTTATATTTCCTTTGCTGTAAACAAGGCCGACCTGTTTTTAGTTTTGTATTCTTTACAGGACGTTGCAGAACCAACACTAGCATTGCCTGTTGAGGTTTTTCTAGGCAAATTTACGTCTAGTAGTTCGCCATTGCTATCTGGACGGTCGGCTAATCGATACCATTGTCGAAACCAACGCAAGGCCCAAGGCCCGCAGCTGGGATCGAACCCGGCACCCCGGCATTACGAAGCGCGTGCGCAATGCCTTAGCCACAGATGCCGACAAGGCAGACCTAGAGGGGGGAAAGGGGTGGTGGTGGGGGGATGGGGGGGGGGTTATAATGTATTGGCAACACACGATTTATACAATATTGCTCAGGCTTTGTGCTGTAGGATCACGCTCACCATTTACCATAGACTGTTTGTTTTCATGGCTCCCTCTAGCACAATATAACACTATCGCCTGGAAGATGCTAAAAGTAATCCTGACTATTGCAAAACTAGCGATGAACATAACAAACTACACAAATTACCGTCCAGTGTGGTCGGAGTTCCACTTTTCTGCCGTTTCTTAGACTCAATGAGGTAAGCAGCAATAAAATTATCAACGTTGTTCTCGTCAAGATTCTGAGAGTACTCGCTGATGTATCGGTCACTGTAGATTGAAGGAACATAGATTAATTTTATAAATGGTTACAGAAATTAAAACGAGCTCTGAAATACAGTAAGAAAAATGCTTACAGGAATTATTGGGCGTTGTAGTACTGATAGCCTTGTCGTGTTCGTTATCTGTGTCATTGTTTTCTTTCTCTTTTAACATCTTACTGTCGCTGTTGATTATACTGTTACTAATGCTGCTGTTGACCCAGCCTAAAATGGGTACCAGGATGGGCTGTCCTGGTAAGGTAAAGACAGCCGGCTGACCACATTACCCACCGAGTGCTGATGGTCTGTAAAATTATGGGTGCTCTTCCCATATGCCCGATACGCCTAAAGGCGTGGAAAGGGATCTTTACTTTTTTTTGTGTGCTGCTGTTGATACTGTTGATACTGTTTGTTACTTCTGTTGCTGCTGCTATTACTGCTAGTACTACTATCTTTTCTCTTCGTTTTTGCTCTTTATCTCCCCATGGGGCATAGGTCATCATCAACACTCAAAATCTTCTTTATTCTGGCCATAGCATGCAGCTATCTCCAAATGTTTCCTATCTTATTCAGCTCCTTATCTAATTCTCGTCTTCGTATTCCTGTAATGCTTTGCTTGTTTTGGCCCTGTTGGTTCCAGCGCAGGGGTAAATTACGATCATGTTTCTTGTTCTTTTTTTTTAAGCCGATGCTATGTGGCGTTGGTAGACATGTCTATCTACAACTTTCTGTCTCGTGTACTTTCAGTCTACTCTGACAAATAATCCTACATGCCACGACGTCAAACTGTCCACCTTCTTTTCTCTTGGTCTCCCTCTGCCTAGTCTCCCCTCCAACTTTCCTACCGTCACGATTTACTCCAGTTTTATCCTTCTCATCACATGATCAACGAATGCACATGGTCTCTTTTTGGTCTCTTCCTGAGTCAGTTTTATTCAAGACATCTCCATGGCTTTTTTTTTTTTTTTTATCTGTCTAAGGCATTCTCATCATTCGTCTATAAAAGCACATCTCCACAGCTTCCAAATAGGTTTTCAATCATTTAGCAACTGTCCACGATTCACTTCCGTACAACAAGCTAGGATTGATATAGCTGTTAAGAATTATTTTTCTTGTCTCAATTGACAAAGAAAGATTGCATAAAATATTCTTCATTTTATAAAATTCATATTGTCCCTGTATGGGTGATATTCAGTGTTAGTGTCGTTTCTTCAGCACTGGAATCGCTGGAAAGTATAATTATCTCCCAAAGCTTCACTTTAATGACTGGTACACCATTTAAATCATAATTACAGATCTGGCATATCTGTTTGCAGACTGGCTGTGTCTGTAGTAGTTAGTGGAGGAAGAGGTATGAACCGGGTAGACAAACTGAATGCACTGCGTTCCAAAGACATCCAGCGAAAGTAGTCACGGACGATAAACCGCCTGTTGAAAAACGGTCTCAAAGGAGAACACGCTGAATATGAAGAGCATGGAGACAGTGAGATGGCTGTTGTATCGAAAGAAGAAGCAGGACTGGTTCACGACCGGTCGGGTCGTGCGCTAGTATGTTCATTCGGAAAACAAGTGATGAGTAACAATACTGTTAGTGTCTCGTCTCCCAGCCAGATGAACTCCGACTTGATAGGAAAACCCCTAGTCGCCTTTTACAACAGGTTTGTCAGGGGCCGTGGAGCCTCGTAACCCACACGTGAGAACCATCGCCTTTTGCCTCATGCCGAAACATGTATTGGTCAAAGTAAACAACAGTCAACAGTAAACAACAGTAAAACAATCTGCACAAAGAAACATCTCATACAAAGCATTTTCATCCCCACCCATGCTACCAGTGCCAGACGTGGTCACTCCCAACAAAACATAAAAGAAAATTATTAACCATGGAAATGAGTTGTCTGAGAAAGACTGTAGGAGTGACCAGAAAAGATAAAATCAGGAATGAGGTAATCCGAGATAAAGTTGGCCCAGACCCAATTCTAAATAACATTCAAAGACAGCAAATCAAATGGTTTGCCCACTTGCAGAGGATGCCTTCTGATGCTATACCATACAAGGCATATACCAAAAGAGGAGAAGGACGTAGATTAAGAGGCAGACCAAAAACAAGATGGGAAGATAACATCAGAGAAACTCTACAGCACCACGATGTGACTATGGTCGAAGCAGCCAGAAGAGCACGAACCTTATTTCTCCCTTCACACGTGAAGCAGTAAAAAGTGACGTGAAGAAGAGAAAGAAACAACAGTATAGAAAAGTTAAGTTAGTACTTGCTTGAGAACGATAAAGTTAAGGTAATCTTGCATCTTCCTCTCTTGTTCCTTTTTTCTTTTACGGCTTCGGATGTCGAAAGATATATAAGGTCTGCTTTTTGTTTTTCTGGCCCCCTTGACCTTAAACACACTGTGCTCTTGTAGAGTGCCTCTGATGTTATCTTTCCACTTTGTTCTAGGTATACCTCACGCTATAGGTCCTTCCCCTCTTGTTGTACATGTCATGTGGAGTACGAAATCAAAGGCATTTTCTCTAAATAGCGGACCGGTTTCTCTCACTATCGTTGTGTGGACTTTGGTCAAGTTTCATGTCTACTCTTTTCTCCTAGTACTTAATTCCTGATTTTAATAGTTATGCTCACTCCCATAACTTTTTTCAAATACCTAATTTCAGTGGTTACTAATTTTCTTTTCGATATAATCTCATCTTTATCGATCAGCAGGTTCTTTACAAAACGTCGCTCTCATTACAGCACACATGGAAGTCTCTCTTTTTATAGCCAGTTCCCCAGCCCTATGTGCCTTCACGGCTAATGCATGTCAAAGTTCTGTATCCAGATTCGCAGAGTCCACCTCTTCATAGTTTTCAAGAAACAGTACTTACCACCTCCGTAGGATTTTTTTTTTCACCATGACATGTAAAATGACCAGAATGCCTATACTTTCAGGACAGATTTATGTTTACAACACAGTTCTCGATATTAGGATTACGTGAAAATAAAAAGTAGCTGTTGTCTCCACAATCGAAGTTGGCTACAGAGTATACATTTTCTAATTTGGAATACTACGTGGTGAGGCAGGGTGCGACTTTCTTACCATTGTCCGAAAATAACGAGAATGGATTTGTACCCATCTACAGCGGGAAACGAACAACAGTACTCGAGGCTCAAGAAATTGTTAACCGCATTCACTAGCCTCTATGCCATGGAGCCCTACAAGATCACGTAGGATATCGACATTTTCATTTCTTCTTCTTTTTCTCTTCTACATTGTACCTCAGCGAAGTGTCGTGGGAAGATGTAACATTCGTTGACGAGCTCTGTCTACAGCACTATTAAGACATGTGTTCATTTCTTTAAGGCTGTTCTTAGTGCCATCACTCCATATTTTTCGAGGTCTTCCGCTCGCTCTATATCCGTTGTATATTTTCACTACTGACCTGAAATAACTGACCAGCGCCTGTTGATTTTTCTGAATTTTCTTGGCGTTGAAGAAATCCCCAGGGAGAAATCGGAGCCAGTGGAACCAGTTCAATGTTGAGGTGCCAGCAAGCAATCTTATCTGAAAGATATTCAATTGTGTTAAATTCCACCTAACGTTCCAACAGGTCTACCTAAGTTTATTTAAAAAAAGCGCCACAGGAACTACCTCGGCCATGCACTCAGAATGGAAAAGACAAGACTTTCCCATCAAACCCTCATATGGACACCGGAAGGGAAAACATAACGGGGAAGACCAAGAAAGACTCTGCGTAGAACCATCATCAGGGAAGACTTAACTACGGGCCTAATGAATATCCAAGACCTGAATCAGGTTGCAACAAACCGTCAGAAAGGGAGAGCTATGACCTCTGCTCTATGAGCCGCCTTAGACACAATAGGAAAGACCAATTCCACCTACGTGAACAGGACTCGCTTACAAGTCTCATGAGCAATGAAGTGTATGAGTGTTGTTCCTAGTTAGATTTTACCAAGCTGAATTGTGCCCTTTTCGAAGACTTACAAACAGATCGTCACGGTCTGAAAGAGTAGGGCAGCTAGGAGTTATTATAGGATCTGGCTGACGCTGTACAGTCAGGGGAAGAGTGAGACGGCTACGCAATCAGACTGCTGGTAGTATTATTGAAATTGTAACTCAGCGCTTGCTGCCGAAGATTAGGGGCGGGGGAGGGGGGAGCCTTATTGGAATGACCCGAAGTCTATGATGTCGGTTCTTAACTCATAAATCACTGCAGCTAAATTATTTTTCATGTCTGAGGTAGCCAGTCTCAAGACCAACCGTATGTTTAAACGATCTACCATGTATGGTAGGGCTCTTCCTTAGGGCCCAGCAACATACCGGCGCAACCTTCCTTAGTTTCCTTGTTTGGAAGTCCAGAGGGCTGTCAGAAGGGAGACCTGAGTTCGAATCCTTGCTAAGGTTTGGTATCAATGACTTACATTTTCCACATTTTAGACAGTCTCATATTTACAACATTTAATATTATTTGCCAAGAACAATATACAGGACATAATTTAACATATTTTTAACTGATTTACACATACTGTTCATCATCATCATCCCGTAACACTACGTGTCGTTGGGTCACCAGTTTCTGTCGACTGTCTGATCAGCTCTCTCCACCTTTAGCGGTCAGTTACGATAGACTTTATGGTTCCATGCCTGAGGCCTGTCCAGTCAGTCAGGTTGTGTAACCAGGTCTTTCTTAGTCTGTCTCTGCTCCTCTTTCCCTCTACTGAGCCCTGCAGTATTGTTTTTGAGAGGCCGTTAGATCTTATTACGTGTCCATACAATTGTATTTTTCGCCTTTTCACTGTAGTTAAAAGAGGTTCATAGTTGCCATTGCGATACGTACTGTTAACCTGTTATAATTATTAGTGAAACCAGCGCGCATTGGTAAGCTTCTAAGCTTCAAATGCTAAAAACGATGGATCGCGAAATAAAAAAGTTGCGGATTATGTATACTGTTTTTGTTCTCATCCCCCTTCTAAATCTCCTTTTTCTTCATTTCCCCTCCTTTCTTGTCATTTTTCTTTGAACATCCGACTTACTGACCGAGTGCTTGAGTTTCTGCCAAACGCCTCCCGATCCCATTAACAACAATAAATTATTTTTAAACCACGCTCCCACCTCCCGTTCACCACCTTCGCTAATCAGAAACAAAGCAATATCCCCAGGCCCGCCACCATCCACCCATCACCCCCCCCCCCACCCCTTTTGTTCCCAGAATATAAAAAAATATAAAAATAAAAACTTCCCTCACTGTCCAGTTAACTTCTTCTCCCCTTGATGTTGGTCATCCACCGGGTGCCTTTTGTTCTATATAATATTAGCCTAGCGTTGTACATCTCTTTAAACCATGATGTGTGTGTTTGTGTGTGTGTGTTTTTTTTTTTAACTTCACAACCATTGGTGCCATCTATACGGCTGCACTAGATTAATACTCCATCACCCAAAGTCAACTATACTCCTCCACCCCACCCCAACCCACCGGGCCGCTTCACCTCCCGGCTAACTTACATTTTCCTTGATCTATCACACTTACATTTTCCTTGATCTATCACACTTACATTTTCCTTGATCTATCACATATTTTTTAATACTTTACTTTATACCGCATCCACCCAGTGAGTATTTTACTACATAATCTTTACAACCCGAATATTTTCTATCCCCGTCGCCAAAAAGAATCAATACCCCTGACCAGTTAAAGTCACTCCCTTGATCTGTCGATTTTATGTAACCTTTACATAGATAGATGCATCTTCCATAGCACTTACATAGCACCTCTATAGCACCTCCATAGAACCTATACAGCGCATACATAACACCTACATAGCAACTAAATATAGCACCTACATAGGACCTACATAGCAACTATATAGCACCTACATAGCACCTACACAACACATACATAGCACCCACATAGCACCTCCACAGCACCTACATAGCACCCACATAGCACCTACATAGCACCTACATAGTCCCTACATCACACCTACAAAGTACCTACCTAACACCTACATAGCACCTACATAGCGCCTACATAGCACCAACATTGCACCTACTATTATTTAACTACAGGGTGTCCCATAAGTTACAGTACATATAAAAACTACCACTGTTTCGATGCGTCTCCTCCATTTCTAGCAAAAACACGTTCATGCACACCTAGAGCTATGCGTGTAATGGTGTTGGTGATATATTTTTTCTATGTATGGGAACTTGTGAGACACCCTGCAAATAAGCTAGACATTCCCCTGAAAAAGTACTACTGTATATAATGCTACATGTTTCCCTCACGGAAAGCCCAGCGATCTATCCACTCGACCAATCAGGTGCATCGATCAGTGCCTCATCTAATGTTTATAACAATAACCATCTGCAATTTCGGAAGGTCGTGGGTTCGCCCCCTAACGGAGCCTGACTTTTTTCAAAAATGACCTGAACTTGAGTGGGTACCGGGTGCAGTCCTGTGAAGTAAAGGCGGCCGGCGTGATGCTGACCACATCACCCATCTTGTGCTGATTGGTCTATAAAAATACAGGTCTTGTCCTTGTGTCCTATACACAAAGGCATGGAAAAGAGACGTTAACTTTTTTTTAACAACAGACCTGTTCGTTGAAAATGTGCATGAAGTTGATGAAGAAGGGGTCGTTGTAGTCAAACCGCTTGCCTATGATGATGGAACAAATGACGTTGGAGACACTGGCGTTGGTTAAAGTCCTCACATCCGTTGGTTTTCCGTTGAAACTACTGATCTCTTTCAAGTAGGCAGAAATCTGTGCAGACAAGAAAAAAAAATGTTATTTTCTTATAAATCTGTTTAATCTAAAATTTGTTTAAATGACTGTTGCGACACAGATATGTATATTGTTTACAAAAAGAAAATTCATTGCTATCCGATAGTGTTTAACTGAAAAAAAAAAAAAACGGGACAAGAAGAAAGAAACGCATAGCTACTGAAAAGTCGCAGCCAGCTCCAGATATTAGGTCATACAGCTAAAACGGAAATTCCCGTTTTTGTGAGGCTGGCCACAGCCAACTCTAAATAGACCAACTGGGTCAACGGGGATTCCCGTTCTTATGCAAGAATTGAGTCACTCTGTGTTAACAGTTTTTGTCGAGGAGATGTATACACAAATTAAACTACAGTTTCATTAATTTTCTACATATTTTATAGAACTATACGTCATTTTAAAGGTAAATAAGTGTGCCAATTAAATTTAACAATAAAGGCTCTGACAGACCAACACAAATGCTTTTGCTACAGTCCTTCGATTGCGCAGGTTGTGCTCTGACGATTCTGACTTCTTTGATAAATCAGTTGAACTTCTTGAATTCTTCCGTGCCCGTTTCTATCCGGAACACATTCTACAAGGGGCTCTAAACAAAGTTTTAGCAATCACCAGGAGAGATGCTTTCCCTACCAAACGTAACTCCACCAATGATGGACCTAAATTGATCTTGACTTTTCACCCTAACAATGTGGCTGCTTCCAAAGTATTCTTTCGTCATTTGGACATCCTCCGCTCTGATCCGGACACCAAGATTATCTTTAGTGAGAAACCTAGATTAGTTTACAGACGAGATCGCAACCTTAAAGACATACTTGTCCGAAGCCGACTCCCACCGATCCATACAGCACTTCCTCTTGGGACTACTCAGTGCTCACGCAGCACCTGCAAAACATGTCCTTTCGTTGTCCAGACTTCTTCGGTCAGTTTCCCTAATGGTTCTTATCAAATTAGGGAACCTTTTACTTGCGAATACTGCAACGTAATTTATGCAATTATCTGCAAACGATGCAGCAAGGCATACATTGAGGAGACTGGCAGGAAGCTAGCTGATCGTTTCCGGGAACACCTCTCTAATATCCACAAGAAGACACTCAAACCAATCCCTCTTCATTTTAATAGCCCTGACCACAGCGGTGAAGATGACATATTTGTCACAGCATTAAAATCTTGCTCTGGCGATCATACTACCCGCCTCGCTTTGGAAAACCGCCTTATCCACAGCCTTGGCGTTCTTAGTCCAAGAGGTATCAATATCCAACATACCTTCATCTAAATAGTTCTAATCTTATCACATTTTAAATGTTAATTATTTTATTTTATTTCATATTATTACCATATTCTATTTCTTATCAATATCATTTATGTATCATTAACACTTGCATTTCTTTTATTCCCAGTATTGTGACTATATTTTTTAGCCATCGTTTATTTTATTTTATTTCATTTATTCCGCATCACATTTTTTAAACGTCGCTCACGTCACCCCTTAGAGATCTACATACTCTCCATTCCTCGTTTGTGTATTTCACTTGTGTTTGAAAAAGGCTGCCTGGCCGAAACGTTACGTTGTGTTGTTTTGTGCACGTTTTCCTCTTTCCCATTTTGTTGCGCTTTTTAGTCAAATTTCTCTGGAATTCATTGCTACAGTCAACATGAACATAAACATCAATAACGTTTAGATATAAACTAAAAGTTGTTCCAGCAAAAGTAAAGAAATATCAGTGCTAACTCTTTGATTCTGAGAGGGTATTGTTGCATCTGAGGTACTTCCGGTCAAAATGGACGTTAGGCAGAGGCACTGTTCGAAACTGAGGCAAATTTTTTGCTTCTGCCGGACGGTGGCCGATGCATTTTTGCTCCATTTGTAGACTGGATATAGTTTCGTCGACCAGCTTCTGAGTTGAATACATGGCGTGACCCTGTGAGTTGCGGATTGCATTTGGAATGTTTTTTCGACTGTGACCAACGTGTTGGTGTGAATTGTAGATTCAGAAAATGGCGCGATGCCTGTCGTGCAGTGTTGTTGTGCCCATATGTGATTAAAATTGATCGTGTGGGCAACTGCTGATCTGTTGGCGACTTCTGCTACCATCAATGATGAACTGCAATTCTAATACTGTGATAAACATTCTGTGTGTTTTTCGTTGGCACAGAAGCGGAGCAAAGATGGGGTGACCCGTTTGCTATAAAGCTGAAACTAAGGCTACCAGACTACAAGCATCTGAGGAGCCGGGGGAGGGGGTGAGGGGGAGGGGTGACCTTTGTACTTTACCAAATTAAGCGCATAAAAATACTGCTATGAAACATACACGTGTCATACATAACATAAATCTAAATAATTTATGGTTATTATTATTAGTAGTAGACTACTACAACATATAATTATACTGTTATTTAATAATTAGTAAACAAGCACAATCTGTATGAAATTGATATGTGCAATACTTTTTTCACCCAGCGTAGTTTTCTTAACAGTAATTGCAGCACTACTAAATATGTATCCTCAAGGTACAAACAGCACAAACAAAATTGTCCAGTTTCATCTTGTTGGATGAAATCAATTCCTTATCATTGCGAATTTTTTGGTAACTGTTTAAAAATACATTACACATATTTCTAATTACTGCATGCAACAACGCTTATAAGTATCATGAATGGTATATTATTTTAAAGATAATTAAAGCAAATTAAAAAAGCTGAGCCACATACACATATCAATTTACAAAAATTAACACAGACCGCACAACTGCAAAAATGCATAAGAAGTGGATGAACAACCAGAAGTTTCCGCAAGAGTTTACAGCCAGTGTCTGCGATGCAAAAGCCAATTTACCAAAATTAACACAGAGTGTACAACTGCAAATATGCATAAGAAGTGGATGAACAACCAGAAGTTTCCGCAAGAGTTTACAGCCAGTGTCCGCGAAGCATCAGTCAAATGGTTAAGGATTAATATTATTAGTGTACTTCTACAACATATAATTATACATAACAATTAGTAAAGAGGCAAAGAGTGACTTGCTGTGAGAGGTTAGTTAGTAAATAAAATATAGTTTTATGCACTTACCCAGAGCTCCGAAATATCTTGACACAATTTATTCACAATTTGATTTCTACATTCACAGTAGAAAAAGAATAAACAGCCAGTTCCCAAAAGTCCAAACTACTGACTAGAAACAGTGACACACACATCCCAACATGACTGTCTTCCGTGAATTAAAATTAAAATTGCTGTATATCCACTTCACAATATCCGCTTGTAGATTTGTAATACGAATACGTTTAGAACACAGGACTTTGTAAGCATATTAAAATGTCACATAATGCAACATGGAAACGATTCTAGTAACCTATTTTTGAGGGGACTCCATAAAAATGTACCGTGATTCAGTTGTCAGGACTGAATGAACAGCCGGACATTGGCTGGGGTGGCCGGTCGGTTGTAACAATTGTTATCGAGTAGATTTATATACAAATTGAACTACAGTTTAATTAATTTTGAAGAATTAATTATTTTGAAGACTAATAAATGGGCTATTGAAAATACTTATCTTCAAAATGATAATTCATTCAATAACACATGTTGCAAATTAATTACGCTGTAGTTCAATTTGTGTATAAATCTACTCGATAACAATTGTTACCACCGACCACATCCAGCTGTATATTTATATCTGGAGTTGGCCGTTCACCGACCGGCCACGCCATCCTCACAAAAACGGGAATTCCAGTTTGAGCTTCACGCCTTTATATCTGGAGCTGGATGTGCAAAAAGTACATAATTTTGTATTATTTTTGACATTTAAAATGCTTGAAATTTAATGAGTGAATTGGTCAAAAGGCACTCAAGAATTCCTTATTGTTCAACCTATCAGTTGACAGTTCTTCTGCATCTGGGTCATTGATAGTTTTTATGCGTACTTGCTTTTTCATCAACTAATAAAACCCCGGCATCGGATATCTATGCGTTTTAAGAGAAAAACACTATTGGAAGTCTATTTATTTCTTTCAACAGTATATTACTACATATAATGTGGACAACCCCGCGGTGTAGACGTTAGTGACCGGTTTAACAATTTCATAATCATTGGGTAAGTGGTTTCGATTTCCTCAGTGGGTAAACAGGCCCTTTTTCACGCCTTCAGACGCACTGGGCACTTAGGGCTGGACATATATGTTATAGGCCAATCGGCATGCGGTTAGTGTTGTGGTTAACACCACGCCGGCCGTGTTTACTTTCCACGGCTATGTCTGGTACCACTCAAGACTGTCTACCTGGAAGCAACGTTTTTTTTTTTTTTTTTAGTTTGGCGCCGCCCAGACCCAAACCCACAACATCCCAGTCTATTTATTTTTAATAAATAAAAAAGTGGAAGTGCTATGGAGGATGTACCTACGGATGTATAGGTTATCCAGTAAAATATAAAATCGACAGACTGACTGACTGACTTTCTACCCCACCAGGACATCACACAAGCGATAAACACCCGATGACACAAAGCGCCACCATATGGATGAGGATCGCCGTGGAGAGGTCCCAGAAAACGCGTTCAGACAATTGGCCATATTTATGGCCTGCCCATATTGCGGCCCCTGGCAAAAGCCAGGGTAGGGGTTCAAATAACAAAAAACATTATCCTAAAAAGGACGAAACTATTATGCCTGAAGTGACAATAATCTAAAAAAGGGATGTAAGTTAACTGGCCAGGGGTATTGGTTCTATTTGGCGATGGAGATAGATACCAGGTTGGTTGTAAAGATTATATAGAAAAATGCTCAGTGGATGTATTCGTTTCCCTTGGGTGATGGAGATAGGTACAAATAGAAAGTTAATGATAACGAGTATTATTATTGTTGTAAAATGCAACAAAAGCTAGTGCGATAACTCCAAGAATTTATTTTTTCCCCACCCACACTTACCTCCCCTTGGATGCTCTCAGCCAGTGTATTTTTGCCCATTCCAAAATTTCTCAGTAATGTGATGGTTGTGGCTCTTTGTTCTTTCCATTCAGGTCCAGAATTACTAAGGATTCCTTTAGTGCAACAAAAAATACACAAGCAAAAATCAGTACAGTCTTTGATTTGACTATATGTAAAACACATTTGTGATGAATTTTCAGGAATATAAGTCACAGATTATGATAACTAGCAAAGGCCAAAACCATGTCAATACGTGCGATGTTAAAGAACTTTTTACGTCCTTCTTAGGACGTTATTTTTTGTTATTTGGAGCCCCACTCTGGCTTTTGCCAGGGGCCGCAATATAGGCAGGTCATCATTATGGCCAAATGTCTGAACGCGGTTTCTGGGACCTCTCCACGGTGATCCTCATCCACATGGTGGCACTTTGTGTCATCGGGTGTTTATCGCTTGTGTGATGTCCTGGTGGGGTAAAAAGCCAATCCAATCCAAGCCAAAACCATGTCAATATTGGCACACATGCGATGCCTAAGAAGAATACTTGACACATTAAGTAATAGGACAAGATCACAAATGCTGAGGTATTGGAGAGAGCAGGTATTACAACTATTCTCAATGCGCAGTCTACGAAACTCAGATGGCTGGGTCACACCTGGAGAATGGAGGATGGCAGAGTCCCCAATGACGTTCCCTATGGCAAATTAATAATGGGTTGAAGATACCAAGTCGGCTAAGTCGATGCGACGCTTCGTAATGCCGGGGTGCCGGGTTCGACCCCAGCTGCGGGCCATACGCCTTGCGTTGGTTTCGACAGTGGTATAAAGAAGCCGACCGATCAGGAAAGCAATGGCAAACTACTGGACGTAAATTTTCCTAGAGAAACCACACAACAGCCAGGGGCTGCTGGGGTTGGTTCTGCAACGTCCCGTAAAGGAAACGCAGCTAACCTTCAGAAGATACTGAGGCTGGCCTCTACTATGATATAAAGATGTGTGCGAGCCGCATGTGAATGATACAGGTATTGAGAGATCAAAAATGTCTATAATCATGGAAATTTACTAAGAAACCCTGGCAGACATGAAATATACATCAGAACTAAAATAGGAATTGCCAAAAAAATATAATCGACAAAGTTTAAAGAACTGTTAAGATACAGAGAGGTGGGAATTAGAGTTGCCAAAGTTTTTGCATAGTCACCACCAATAATGTTAGTTGCTTATCCTTTACAGGACGTTGCAGAACCAACCCTAACAGCCCCTGGCTGTTGTGTGGTTTCTCTAAGCAATCTACATCCAGTAGTTTGCTATTGCTTCCTGGACGGTCGGCTTTCTTGATACCACTGTCGAAACCAACGCAAGGCGCATTGCCCGCAGCTGGGATCGAACCTGGCATCCCGGCATTACGAAGCGAAGCGTTCGCATCGACTTAGCCACAGAGCCGACCACCACCAATAATATGACGTCAATAAACCCGGACAACAATTCTAAATTCTAAATTCGATGAAAACAGAAAAAAACATAGTTTTTGAAGGGATTGCTGAGAGTGAGAGTCGCCTCTTACGACATGCTTGTTGGGAAGCTGTTGGTCTATTTCACAAACTATATAGACATGTAGCGTCTGTGGTTTAGACGATGCAAACACGCTTCGTAATGCCAAGGCGTTGGGTTCGATCCCATGTGCTGTCGATTTGTCTTGCGTTGGCCTCGACAGAAGTACTGAGAGATAACCGGTAAGAAACCAAGGGCAAACTTGTAAAAGTAAAATGTGCTTAGAAAAACAGCAACAGCAAATAAAAAAAAAATGCTGGGGTTGGTTTTGCAACATCCTATAAAGAATACACACTATTTCTTTTTATGGACAGTCTTATATAATAAAAAGGACTAAAAGAAGAAAACAAATACGACACAGGTCAATGTGGGCGACCTGTCGCTGCTTTCTGGTGGACTTCTAGACCGCGGTTGACGTGCTGGCCACCACTGATTGACAGAAACAACAATCAAATACTACAAACTAGAACCTTTATCTCCTTCCTTTGAGATTCTGCCGATGAAGCTTGGCGGCCTCTCTGTGAAGTGTTCCGCTTGTCTGACCAGGGCGTCCTTCAGGACATCATAGCTGTTCAGGACGACTACAAGAGATGTGCCCATGTAGAGGCTAAACATGTCCCCTGTTCTGAGAATATGTTATACTATTTTATAGGTAGTTGACATTTTTATCTTATTATATTTTTTTTTCAAGAAATGAATACATAAGATTACGCACTGATTTATCGTTGTTGTTGTTGTTATTGTTGTTGTTGTTGTTGTAATGAAGTAGTGTTACTATCTCGGAATCCCAGATCGACAAAGCCTAAATTCAGTATTAAGAAATTATAGGTTATGAGTTGATTGTGTGCTCTCTGGGGGTTTAAGATCGTTGGATTGTCGGTCAGCGGTGGTGAGACGAGATATGTGTAATTCTGACTTTTCGTTGCGTAGCTGTTCATGGTTTTATACACAATGTGGGTTCAGGAGTCTGAGTCAAGAGATGGATTGGCTCACTAGTTTCAATGTTGTGGTGGTAGGTTCAGTAGGGAGATTGTATCAGATCTAGATTTCCATGTGCATTTTGATTCAAAATAGGACTTGTAGTTCGTGCACCTGGTCTGTCAAGGTGCCACCTATGTAGCTATATATGTGTAGTTAGACGTTACGCAACAATTATTATATAATAAGGAGTGGTTTGTGTCTATTGTTCACGTAGTATTCTTATTGCTCATTTACGTCGTCAATTGTCGTTGGAACACTTGACTGCAACAGTTAATTAAACAAATAAAGTCGGTACTTGCTGTTTACATTTTTATTATTTGATGTGTGCGTCTGGTTTTATTGTCACTGCTAAGTAGACTTCATACAGGATATCTCCTGTCAGGGCTAGGACACAAGTTTTAGTCTCCGCCTAACGAACTAATTTGTGTGTGTTTTTTTTATTATTTTTTTATTTAAGTAGCTTGGGTGTGGCTCTCGGTTACCACTGACCACGACATTCTTTGTTGGCGCTTCTATAGGCTTGGAGAAGAGACAAGTTCTAGGATTCGATTTCTCGTATCCTTCATTGTGTCTCGCCTTTTTATTTAGACAGCATCAGCCTTAGGCGTTGCTTTTAGTACATTATTGAAGAACGCTGGCTGCATGCTTACGCCACACATCCAGAAACTGTATCGTGGAAAAGCTACCAGTTACAAATAATACGATGTTAGCTGCGCGCGCATACTCTCAACAGCGAGGCAGCGAGAATAAAAATATCACGTGCACACTTCCAGGTGTAATCGTTACCTGTTAATGCTTACATATGGAAACTGATCACGCCTCGTCATGGGCTGATTCCCATGTCTCTCCCTATGCAGCAACAAAACACTATCGTCTGGGAAGATGGAAAGCTGTCTGCAATGTTTCAGTAACGGCTGCTTTAACAATTTATGGAATAACACTATGTACCCAATTCTCACCAATGTTACTTCTGGCAGATGCTCAACACTCAAGGATAAGACGAGACGGATAAACAACTAGACAGTTACTTGTTTCGTAAGAATTCAACTCAACAGTTACTAGTGTCGTCGGAATTGGAATTTGTCGTTTGCTGCTAAAGGTAGAGACGGGGCGCTTATGGGAGTGACCCGAGTGCAGTGATGTCGATCCCTAATTCAACATTCAACATTCAGGTGTTGATAGAGATATACTGTTCTGCATCTTGCTCTTATGGTCGCATCGAAACATCGTGCTGATGTAGAGTTTCTTCAATGTTATCTTTTACTATACTTCTTGGTCTAATCTACGTCATCTTTTACTGAATGTCTTGTATGGGATGGCGTCACATGACATTGTCTCTAAATAAGGTGTTCTTATCCGGGGTGGGGGGGGGGGGGGGGGACTTAAACAGGACACAGGCCAGTGTCAAGGGAGCGATAAACAATTCTGAATCTGAAAACCAATTCTCATATAGTCAACCTTGTATTATCTTTTCGTTGGGACAGACATTATTATTAAATTTGCTCCACTAAAATAGAAGCACGCAGAAGAGTTAAACGCAATTTCTCAAAAAACAACACCGCCAAATTTTATAGCAAAAGAATTAAAGGTAAATTTAACATGCAGGGAATGTGCATGTGCTATCAGTCACGAGGCGAAATAGAAAGCATGGAGATGCGATTAGGTCGAATTCTGTTCTCAATTTATAATTAAATTCAGATGTTATCCTTTTAAACTCTTCGACGTGCTTCCGTTTTAGTGGGGCACATATAATAATCATCTGTCCCAGCGAAAAGATGATAAAGGATGACTATATTAGGTTTGGTTTTACGGTGTAGACACGTCGCTTAGTGCAACAAACCCTGGCATATATCACAACGTCGAGGTGCAGAGTGGCAAGCATCACTTCAGAGGTTTTGGGTAGTTAGCATTCTTTGAATATTCTCTCCAGGTTATGGCGGTGTGTTGGGAAATGAGCAGGCAGATAGACTGGCCGGTTCTGTACCACTTCTTAGTGAATTGATTATGACAAGCTAGACGTTTTGAGCGCCCTCTGGGAGCGGGTGAACAGGGCGAAAGCGCAAATAGATCATTGCGGTCTAAGAAAATGGCGTTGCGAGGAGTTACGCTCAACACTCAAGGGAATGGCGAGACAGATATACAGTCAGACAGTTACAGTGGCGCATTGTGTATGTGAAAATACAGTAAAAGTAAAGGACCATTGGCCACGCCTTCAGACGTATTGGGCATATAAGTGTTGTAGTCCTATTTAGCCGGCGATTAAAGTGTAAAATTAGCAGAAAGCCGAGAGGTAGAAGTCACACGGCCACGAATCTTAAGTTACCCAGGCGATATTTTAACTGGGTCGGGGTGAGATTGGTTTCTAGCTGAGAACAAGCGATGGATGTCTTCTTTCTTTTGTCAAAATCTGCTTGTGCCGCTAGGCGTCGCAGTCTATCAGATGATCGGCAACCGAGCCAGGGCGCGCTCAGTCGCTTCATATGCCGAGATGTTATGAAGTCTCAAGTTGTCCGTGACTCCTTCAATCCATCTTCTTCTTGGTCTTCCCCTGCCTCTTGTTGTTTCGATTTTCATGTTGTATGCTCTTGATGCTGGCATCGTTGGTTCCATTCTCATTAGGTGACCAAACCATTTCATTCTTTGCTTCTCAATAAATTTAACGATGGGTATGGTTCCAATAGTTCTTGTAATCACATCGTTTCTCACTCGATCTCTTCTGGTTTTATTCGCAGCCATTCTCAAACATCTCATTTCACAGGTGGTTAGTCTTCTCTCATGTTCTTTTGTTAATGTCCAAGTCTGACATTGATAACCTAATGTCGGTATAAAGATTGTATTTATAATTTGTCTTTTTATCTCAGCTGGGACAGCAGGGTGTTTTAAAATTGGGGCAAGCTGGTATGCGACATTGTTGGCTTGTTGGATTCTTGCTTCAATCTCTCTGTCTATTTTACCATTGGATGTAAAGATACTTCCCAGGTATTTAAATTCTTGCACTTGTTTTAGGCTGTGATCTAGAATCTTTATGTCGATGGTCTGTTGCTCTCTACTTATGCTCATGACTTCTGTCTTTTCAGTATTGATCTTCATATGATGCTTGAGGCAACTGTCGTGTAGATGGAAGTGACAAGAGAAAATTAAGTACTGAATACAGGTAGATTTACGTTACCTGAGAGGAGAGTGTGTGGGGGTTATCTAGAACAACAGGGTTTGGTCAACTAGTCCAGAGTTAATTATATTGGTATATTGAGAATGTAAGTTATTAGAACTTAAACTATGAGAATGAATTTGTGTGTACAAGAGAAAGAATCACTCTGTTAGAACAAGTGGATGTAATTATAAGACAAATGAATTCTTTGGATAGAATTCAGAGGTACAATCAGCTGGGAGTTAGTTGAGATTTTGCTAGCGTCCAAGTCGGACGTGGGTTTCCGCGCGTTAGCGGAAAAGCTGTGTTATCTGATTTTCTTTTCAAGGATATTATAGAAACGTTCCTCTTATGAGGTTTGTGCTTTACCGCAGTCAGCAGGAGACAGTTTGATGTCCGTTCTAGTTTCTGATTGCAGGAGTCCATTAAATGAATGTTGTTTTTATTAAGATCGCCAGTGCAGATAATAGAGACTTATTAGCGTACATATATTAATCATCGTCATTTTGTGACGTGTACTTATGTGAAAGACATTAAAGTTTATGTGGCCTGTCACAAGTCGATCTTGTTGACTCTTCGAGATAGTCACAGATGTATTTTCTGGTGCTGGGGCCACTGTGCCCAGGTGATAAATTATGCAGGACTGCAAGTCTTCTTAGCAAATCCATTGAAGTAGAGATCCAGCGGCATATCAGCTTAGGCCCCTAGACCTATATACTTAGTTGTTTCCAGATACGAAGAAGTATCAGTACAGAAAAAAATATTATATGGACTAAAATAAATAAGTGCTCTGTATACCCATTGTCTACACAGGGGTTATACAAGAGTACAGCAATAGGGCTAGACCTGTTTCTGTATATGATACTAGACAGACTTATCATCAGCACTCAGCGAGTGATATAGCCTACCTTATGTAGGCCGAATTTACTTTTATTCTCCGAATGACATTATCATGTACCTATTTCAGCCAAGTAAAATTCTGAAGGGGCGTGTGGAACAAATCACCTCAACGTCGCCGATTCAAATCCACTACCTTGGGGCAGTAGGTGAGAGTCAAGTTCCGCAGTTTATCGTAACTTTTCAAACTTTACACTTCTTCTTTTTCGTTTTCTTCTTCTTCTTCTTCTTCTTCTTCTTCTTCTTCTTCTTCTTCTTCTTCTTCTTCTTCTTCTTCTTCTTCTTCTTCTTCTTCTTCTTCTTCTTCTTTCTTCTTGTTTCTTTCTTCTTCTTCTTCTTCTTCTTCTTCTTCTTCTTCTTCTTCTTCTTCTTCTTCTTCTTCTTTTCTTCTTCTTCTTCTTCTTCTTCTTCTTTTTCTTCTTTTTTTCTTTTCTTCTTTTTCTTCTTCTTCTTCTTCTTCTTCTTCTTCTTCTTCTTCTTCTTCTTCTTCTTCTTCTTCTTCTTCTTCTTCTTCTTTGCTTTCACCAGCTGACAATTCCGGCAGAAAGTTCTGATTATTTGTTCACTTCTGGAATATAGCCCTATTTGAGAACCTAATTGTTGCATGCACATCCGTTTAACAGATCTGACTTAATTGTATTCAGACTGTGGGTTCCTTGCCTGTCAGGCAGATGCACTCTCCTGTATGCTTGTTGGGGAGGCAGTCGGTCTATTTTGTTGTGTTTTCCCACAATAAGGCCTTGGAACCAACACGGGGAAGACTTTAAACTATACTTACTGTTCGGCCCACTTTGCAATTGTTTCTCTTGGCGTTTTCTTCAGAAGAGGCAAATGTCCAACGATAGGGTAGGGCCTGGCCGGAAACGGGGGAATGTTTCCTGGGTTGTGAAGCCATCGTTTGATCAGCAAAACAGCGGCCAAGGTCAGTGCCAGAAACAGCAGAGGGTACTGTGTGAGGTACTCGGCAGCCATTGGGTCTTGACTGTGATCTGTACACGTCTTAGTCTTGACTTAGGCTTGTACATACAATTCACTGTTATGCTGTAATTGTTAAAACACATATATAATTAATGTGGGTACATGCACGCAAGAAGATAACTCCAAAATGTGACATGGGAATAGAAGGGAACTTAAATAACTCAAAAAATAAAAGTATTTGAGGACACTCATTAAATCAGATAGACGACGTGTGACAGAAATAAGGAGCAGAATTGGCCAGGCAAAAGCAGCATTTTAGAAGATTGAAATTATCTTATGTAATAAATCACTCTCATTAAACATCAGAAAACGAGTACTGAAATATACATCAAAACTGTTCTGTTAAGTGGCAGTAAATCTCGGAATGTGAGCAAACAAATTAAGAAGCGTTTGGAGGCCACTGAAATTTGGTTCCGAACACCTTGGACTGCCAAAATAACTTACAATGATTGCCTGGACATGGCTAAGAAACCTAGAATATTATATACAACAATGAAAAGGAGACACAAAGAAAAAACGTTCTTAGGTCGTGTGATGGGAAAAGGAGGACTGGAAAATATCTTGACGACTGGAAAAAAAATGGTAGAAGAGGCAGAGGCAGACCAAGAGAAATGAGGTGGATGGCTTAAGACAGTGACATGGAGGAAGTTCATCAATGGAATTCATCCAGAACAGCATAGACCGAGATCTGTAGAGATACATGAACGCCTACGCCAAATGGCAAGGCACTTGATAATGATAATGACTGACACGAGTGCGCGCACACACACACACACACACACACACACATATATATATATATATATATATATATATATATATGCATATTTATAACTAACAATATATATATGTGTGTGTGTATATATATATATATATCTATATAAATACTTATATATATATTTACATAAATACACATATATATATATATATATATATATATATATATATATATATATATATATATATATATATAACCAGTGTGGATATCAGGTTTTGTACAAGAGCTACCCCTTTATGCAGTGCTAGCTTACGGCATAGGGTAAATAAGCTACAACTCTGGGCCTCACAATAAGCAGGGGCTTCATCAAATTGGTATTTTTATTCACAGATACAATTTTATTTAATCTATTTAAATTGCTATTTTCTTTTATGGAGCCTTTCAGAGGATTATATAATACAGTTTCAAGTATTTGTGCAAACGCAATCTTTATAATTTCTTTTACTAACAATTTAACGTCAATGTGTTTCCATTATCCGTAAAAATTTAAAGGCGTGTATATTTTGCAGTTTTCAATATTCTTCATTTTGAAGCCCATGCCGACTGGCGTTGGTAGCCTCCCATGTCCACAATCTTCTGTATGCTTTTAATAAACTCTGATACATTTGATCCTCCATACCATGAGGCCAAACTGTCCAGCATCTTTTCTCTCAGTCTCCTTCTGCCTCTTCTCTCCTCCAAGTTTCCTACTATCGCGATTTCCTCCAGTTTTCTCCTTTTCTTCACGTGATTTAAAAAAAATGTGGATTGTCTATTTCTGACGTGGACAATCAGTTCTCTTCGTGAGCCAGTTTCTTTCGTGACATCTTCATTACTCTTTTTATCTGTTCAGGGCAATAGATATCTTCATTACTCTTTTTATCTGCCCAGGGCAATAGACATCTTTATTACTCTTTTTATCTGCCCAGGGCAATAGACATCTTCATTACTCTTTTTATCTGCCCAGAGTAATAGACATCTTTATTACTCTTTTTATCTGTCCAGGACAATAAAGATCTTCATTACTCTTTTTATCTGTCCAGGACAATAAAGATGTTCATTACTCTTTTTATCTGTCCAGGACAATAAAGATCTTCATTACTCTTTTTATCTGTCCAGGGCAATAGACATCTTCATTACTCTTTTCATCTGTCCAGGGCAATAGACATATTCATTACTCTTTTTATCTGTCCAGGGCAATAGAGATTTTCGTTACTCTTTTTATCTGTCCAGGGCAATCTCATCATTCGTCCATAAAACGACATCTCCGCAGCTTCCAGAGAAGTTTTTAAGCATTTCTTAGATTGGCTGGTTTAATTTAAAACAGTAGAGGCCTTCGAGCTGTAGGATAGGGCCCCAACATGTTTAACTCCGGCCCTGCCTTTAAGTACAAAACTTTTCAAACAGTTCAAGTGGAATGTCTGTACATGATTGTGTGAGTTTATTTTTGTAGCGCGAAGGCGGGCATTTCCATATGTTTATGATTAAGTGTGCGTGTGTGTGTGTTTATGGGTTTATATGTATGGGTGGGTTAGTTCGAGTTTAGTCTCCCAGACCCAGCCCATATACACACAAGCTCACTTCTGATTTGGTAGTTCCTGAGCCCCGTGACCTTTGCACACCGGGGTGTTCCGCAATGCCGTTGATATCGCGTGTTGTATATTTCAGTACGCCAGCGCTTTTAACACTCTAAAAACAGGAAAAAACTGGGTCTAACACAACTCCCCTAGAGAGTGCTACAATCTATGTCACATGAATTCTCTTTCTCGGAGTGAAAACGTAAAGGCAAGACATCGCAGAAACCAAAAAACAGAGCAGGACAGTCGACCAGCACAACAAACTTGTGAATAAAAAGTGACCTACTCTATTTGGGGAGACTAATGTCGAACTAACCGTATATGTGTGCTTTTAACCATCACTGACATAATAACCTATATGTTCATAACCTGCCTTCCTAGGGTCATGACTTAAAGCCCAGTACACAATTGTCACGCTGTGAAAGGAATTATACATATTTAATGTGCTCTGATATGAATACAGTTAGCATAGTTTCTGTATCAGATAGTGTCCTAATAGTCTTTTAGATGGTGCTCTGTATATTTTGTTGAGTATAACTTGCCCTTGAAGAGATATTTAAAAGACTAAAATAGGGAAAATTATCTTAAGGGCTCACCTTGCAACCATTACTTAATTACACACAGAGACAGCAAATGAAATAATTGTCAGAGAGAGAGAGAGAGAGAGAGAGAGAGAGAGAGAGAGAGAGAGAGAGAGAGAGAGAGAGAGAGGGAGAGAGAGGGAGAGAGAGTGTGTGAGAGAGAGAGAGAGAGAGAGAGAGAGAGAGAGAGAGAGAGAGAGAGAGAGAGAGAGAGAGAGGCAGGGATTATGAATTCCATGAGATGTCAAAATAGACAATTGTAGTTTAAGTTAGTTGTTTATCATTTACAGTAATGTTCTTCAAACCGTGGGCTGAAAAAAAAAATTTTTTCATCGCGGAGACTGTGGGCCGTGGAAAAATAGAATTTGTTTTATTGCAAAGCTTCGTATATTGGAAACAACGCACCAGCTAAATACTCGTGTATCAATCAGTTCTTTAACCTCTGAGCAGCTAAGAAATGTAACATTGTGACAGCCGATTTACCACACACACACACGCACACACAAAACTGCTGTCTATATTTGTTTTTGTTTCTGTGTTTGGTGAGCTGTAATGTGGATTCCACTGTTCTGGTGGACCTCGGGGTAAAACGTGTTGAGGAACACTGCTATACAGGACCTTGTAGAAACAACCTCCGCATTTGGTGGCTGTCTGATTTGACTAGGCTATTTTACGTTCACGCTTACTATTGTGTCCTAAACAGTCGGTTCTCGAGACCACTGTCGACACCAACACAAGGTGGTCTGCTGCCAAATCGCCCGCAACCTGGATCAAACACGGCAGCTCGGAGTGACGAAACCCTTTCACAACACCTAAGCCACAGACGCCCACTCAGTTAGTTATACTATTTGACTTTTTTTTTATTTCACTGATGCATACATTGCTAGACCCATATTTTTAGACCAGTCGACACTTGAAGTGTAAAGTGGTCAATATTATGCATGCCACTTTTACGTCCAAGCATATTTCCTGGTACTCATTTTAGGCTGTGTCGACATTGGAGTCCCGTTAATTAAAAAATATAGTCACGATGGCACTTTTAATACCATACAAAGCATATCCAATAATAGATGATGGGCACGGAGCCTGGGAAAGACTAAGGACAAGGTGGAACATTAGAGAATCCTTAAAACATTATCAATTGTCTACAACAAGGTGGAACATTAGAGAATCTTTAGAACATTGTCAATTGTCTAGAACAAGGTGGAACATTAGAGAATCCTTAGAACAGAGTCAATTGTCTAGAACAAGGTGGGACAGTAGAGAATCCTTAGAACATTGTCAATTGTCTAGAACAATGTGGAGCATTAGAGAATCTTCTGTAAAGTTCTGTAGCCCGGACTTTCTTGGTCTGCCTCTTCCTATTTACTGAGTATTGTAGCATTGTTTTTTAAAGGCTGTTACATTCCTATAAAATTGCATTTTCCCTCTCTTGACTGTAGTTAAAGAGGTTCACAGCTACCAATGTGCTAGCGACAGAACAACACGCAGACAAAAAGGTAAAACGTGTAGGTGCCTATCATTTACAGAATATCCCAAGTCGTCGCCATTTATTTGTTGTTGTGTGTGGTGTGTTTTTCCCCCTCCTTTTTTCCCTTTAAATCATAAGCAATTTTACAATCAGTAGTTGCCATTAAGTTATGGGTCGTATGGTGTTTATACAACTGTTAAAATCAACTCAAAGAGCAGCTTTTTTCGAAATTCTTTTCAACGAAATTCGAAATTGCCTTCACTATTCCTAAATTACCCGACAGCTGATCTGAATTTATTTGCTTTAAATCCTATAATACACAATTCCTAAAACACCGATAGATAAACTGAATATATTTGCTTCAAATCCTATAATTCTTACCCTTTCACGGTAACCGTTTGGTAACCCAGTGAAAATTGCAATTTCTTGCCTTCTTTGCATGAATGACGGATATGGTTAGCGACTGCACTTACACAATTGCATACACACCATGCACGCAAAAAGTGAGCTATTTGAGTCTGGAAAACTATGAAACCCTTGACAGATCGGCCTAGCATTGAAGCAGGCCAAGGTTCTCCGTTTATGCCCGGACTTCAGGGATCATATTA